TCTATCTATCTATCTATCTATCTATCTATCTATCTATCTATCTATCTATCTATCTTTCTCTGTTTTTCTCCCTCGGGCGTGACATCAATAAGAAGTAGAGCTTCTTGAACAGAATACACATTTTCAGACTTTCCTAAAAGGAATAAATATCAAGACAGACACAAAACTATGAATTTTGGATGACTTGCATTTTGAGAAGGTAGGTATGCACGTATGTTTCTATATGAACAAAATTTCCGCTGGTAAGACGGCTGAAGTGAGAAGCCGGTTTCAGCAGTCAAAGCAAAAGAGAAAATATTGAGTGTTTTGAATTACCAATCCCTCCCATAATAGCACCATAGTAGTTTGAAAACGTATGTATTCATTGGACTAAAGTAAAAACTCGTAGAGAGTTCGGATCAATGGTGCATGGTTTGAGGGGCGGGTTCTCTTGGTGGGTTTTTTAAGGTTTATTTTCCTAATTTTAAAAGAGTTTAAATCCTCAAAGTTTTAAAGTCTCGAAAAGAACTTAGCCTATAATGCACCTGCCAACAAGGGATAGTGTTACAGCATTTTTTTAAAATGTTCTCGTTACTGAACAGAAAGTGAGTTTTGACATTTCAGGATCGTGTGCCGTTTCGTTTCGTTTAGTTTCAAATAGAAATACATTCAAACAGAGGCTGTTTATACAATCTACAGTTTAGAGATTCGTACTTGGAGTGGAAGTAGAATGTAAGCACCACAAGATTCTCCACTCATGTCTTAAACAGCTCTCAGAGGTGGCCAATATTTCTTATCTCTGGGCTGCTTCTTTTCAAGCGTGACAGGTCACTGCTGATTTTATCAAGGAAAAGAAATACCTGTTTCCATCACAGTTCTATTCATTTATTTCTGTTGTTTTGCTTTAACATGTCACTGGCCCTTGTATCCGCCCAATCTGGTGTGTACGGCGGGTCATAAATCAAGGAGGATGCTGATGGTTAAGGATACCTGGCTCCCCTGGCCCCAACAGCGCTAGATTTCATTCACAGCTGATGGCCCTAAACATTTCCACTGTCTGGGTCAGATTAGCTCTTGTCCGAGACCACTCCGACATTCACGTAGTCTCGGCTCGGGCTGGGGGAGCCGACCGTCTAGCCCATCCTCCACTCACTTCTGACATCAGCCTCCCACTGTTCTGTACTCCTCTATTTTTAACTACTTTTGTTCTTCTTTCTTTGTCTTTCTTCTCGTCCACCCCCTGGATATTGGATATTCCTCTTATTTTGAATATTTAATCTCTGTCTATCGGTCTGTCTGACTGTCTGTCTCTCCCTGTCTGAATTTCTGACTTTGTGACTTTCTATCTATCTGTCTGCCTGTTTGCCTGCCTGTCTGTCCGTCTGTCTGATTTCGTCAATATCTCTCTCTCTCTCTCTCTCTCTCTCTCTCTCTCTCTCTCTCTCTCTCTCT